CATCATTCAGAGGATATAGTTTCAGAGTCAGCTAGCAAAAGGAGAGTTATAGGAGAGTTCAGCTATCCGGTTCGGTGGACCAATAATGTTTGAGCTAATTCAGTATAGTGTCAGCAGGTAGTACAATGAAGGAGATATACTGAGCCAACAAATAAAGATACTGAATAAACATTCGACAACAGCAAAAATCAAGAGAGAGAGAGAACAAGAGAGAGTGTGTGCTTATATTAGAGAATAATGTTCTAGAATGTTCTGTTCAGGCAAGCCTGTGTCAGTTCATATTGTGTAATAGTATAGTGTTAACAAGGTGTGAAAATGTGATTGTGTGATAGAGGCATGCATGAGACATAAGTATTAATAATTAGTAAATGTAAATGAACAGTATCTGAAGGTTTGGGCTTATCTAGGCGAGAGTATAAATCTTGATTTAGATCTAGCTATGAGTGGTCCATAAAATAGAGATGTTGCAGACCATGTGGGTCATTAAAACATACTTGTTGCCAACCATGGTCTGTAGGTCCGGTCCTGTCTGTTTTTAAGGACAACCCCCCACCAAAGTGGTTTCAAACTAATGCTCATGACTCACACCATGCTCTCATTGAGGTGGATTGATGTAAACCATTGACAACAAGAACATAAAATGATACACAATTCAGCTGCTAGTGTGAACAAGATCAATGAGCATTATTTCAGCTGTATCACAAAGCATATCAAAGAGCTTTAAAAATTGCCTGTCTGAAAAGGGCTTTTAGTTTGTTCCTTGTCTGACATCTGTACTACAGAGCAAGCAAACTCATGACTATTAACTTAGAACTTCTAGTTTGCTGTAGCTGGTAATTTACTGTTAGCTCACACCTTATTTATTATTATTGAAATTGCAATGATTATTACTGTAATAAAACAAAATTTAAGAATGACTTAAATTAATGATTTATTTGTGTTTCTGCTAGTGCCACTGGAAGTCTGACATCGGCATTCAGAATTAACTCAGTGCACCAGACCCTTCCTCAGCTGTCCAAATGTCAAAAAAGGATAGGTCTAACTAGGCAAGACAAACCCAAGTACCCAACTCAACCATAGATTTTGTGCATATGTCTATGACCCAGTTGCCCTTGAATTATGATAGATATACTGTGACACTGACTCATTGATACTATTGATGCCAACAGTCAACTAAAATATGTACCTTTTGAACTAGTTGATCCTGCAGGTGGCATAGCCGGTAGAGGATGTTCATGAGCTATTTCATCAGCTAATGCTGGATCACCTCCTCCTTCTTTAACAGCTACACACACTCTCCTCCAGCAAGAAATACCATAACGCTCATAATCATAATCTTTCCTTAACCAGTGCTCTAAAACTTCCTGCAGACAAGTGATAGTGTCTCCACGACAATCAGCTTCTATCTTTTTAATTGTGTTTATTTTGAGACGCAAGGAAATGGCAATCTGCTTCCAGCGAGCTGCAAGTTGCTCAATTTTCTCATAAACATCATAAAAGTCATCAATACCTGCACAAAATATCATTTCAAGTAAAATATACCCGCAAACTCACTTAGTTCTTTATTGCAAACGTTTATAAAAGGAGCATTGGGGCTTTTACATGTAGCTCGACTAGTAGCCATTGTTCGTGGTATACACCCACACAAAATGTGGTTATCTAGCAGGCGTGGCTATACATCTCTGAATATCTAGTATACGGAGTAGACACGTGCCTTGTCATGGGTAGTTAGTACATGTACATGTACTTATTGGAAGAATTCTGAATTCTCTCCCTTTTAGTAGAACACCATCAAACAATCAGCTCTTAAAGTTCCATTCAAACCTTACTTCTTATCTATCTTAGAGAGTTTTACTTTCTGAGAGACAACTGGATCACCAGTTCGGGACATCGGGTTGATCATAAGTCTGTTCCCTTTCACCAGAGATAATGAATACTACGGTTACGTAGCATTAATTATCTATGCTTTCACCATATTCGTCACTCACAAAGAATGATAGGCTCCCTCTACACGTTTTTTCTGAACTATTTCTCTGCTGTGACAGATGAGGATAGGGCAACTCTTTTTAATTCATACTTCCATTCAGTGTACACCAATGCATCTAGGCTAGTTGTCAATGCCTGTTCTGGGTGCCTCTCCTGGTCTCAGTTCAATAGATACAGGGTATTTCTATTGATGACACATTCAAGGTGCTCTTGTCATCTTTTCTTTGTATCAATCATTAGTCTGCTTCCATCCAATCTGAATAGTAAATGCATTATATTTACTCAATAATCTGAGCTTGAATCAAATTGAACAGTTGAATGCCCAGCTGTAATCACTATCGATATTATTATCATTTATTACTACATTTATTTGTATCTACATACATGTACATGTACCTATTTATTTAATTTTATTAGGTTCCAGAGCGACTGATATTAACACTTGAACTACTCAAAAAAGAACTAGCCATTGTATAACACTACAAAAGAAACTTGGAAAAGAAGTAAGTACATGTATACAGTGTATGTACATGTAACTGCATGCATGAGCTCAATTCACTTCTATTTGCTTCACCACATTCTGTAGCATTATATTAATATTGTTGAAGAGAATTTTACTAAAATGCAGAGAAAGTATGATTTTATTACAAGAGGAACTGAAAGTAATAAAGAAAGAACTAGCAATAGAAGTAATGGAGCATGAGAGAGAGAGGGAGGAACTGGAAGGATATGAATAAGTTGATAAAGTTGTTTTTATTGTAGAAAGATGATAAGGACCCTATAATGGACAAGTTCCCTGAAAAGATGTCTTACAAAGGAAATCGAGACTGTATTAATTTTGAAGAATTAAACAACTGTCCTTTAATCACTCATCAGAATTTACATGTGAGTAAAAAAGAAATAGATTTTCTGATTGCTTTTTACTTCAGTACATGCAATTGTCCTTGCCCTTTTCTCTCTCCCTATCCCCCTCTCCCAGTGTAACAATTAAGGAACTATCTTGATTGGTTGATGAGTATACCCTGGAGTAAGACCAGTAAAGAGGACTTCCATTTAGAGAGGGCTAAGGTTATACTTGATGAGGATCATTATGGACTCAAGGACATTAAGGACAGGATACTGGAGTTTATAGGAGTCTCAAGATTGAAAGGATCAGTTCAAGGAAAGATACTCTGCTTTGTAGGACAACCTGGTAATGTACATGTACATAAATAGTTATGTATAATGTATTATATTAATTTATGTATATTGGGTAATTTTTCTATTTGTACTACTGGTAGTGTGTTTATTTATATATAACTACAATGTACATGTACTTTAAACAATAAATATTTGAATCAGTCTACATTTTATTGTAATTATAGTCATTTTCTATCTTCTTTTTTTATTCCTCTCCCCCACTCTATCTCTCTGTAGGTGTTGGTATAGCTCGTTCAGTTGCCCGGGCATTAAATAGAGAAGGAAGACCACACAATAAACTAATACAACAATCAATGTCTGGCTCTGTGTGTGTGTGTGTGTGTTAGTACTTTAGGTTCAGTGTAGGAGGTATGACTGATGTGGCTGACATAAAGGGACACAGGGAGACAGATGTTGGAGCAATGCCTGGTAAAGTGATACAGAGTTTGAAGAAAGTACAGACCAAGAATCCTAAATCCACTCATACTGATTGATGAGGTTGATATTAGGGACGCGGGTACCAGGTATGGGAGTTTGGGATTGGTAGCATATGATGCGTTGGATTATGTGTCATTTTTTGTTTATTTATTATTTCACATTCTCCCTCTCTCTCCCTTTCTTATTAAGGGTGATCCAGCCAGTGCTTTGTTAGAGTTGTTGGATCCAGAGCAGAATTCTTTCTTTTTGGATCATTATCTTGATGTTCCTGTGGATCTCTCACGTGTTCTGTTCATTAGTACAGCCAATACAACTGACATTGTACCAGGACCACTCATTGACAGAATGAAATAATACAAGTAAAAGAACTACTCATACATTAATATACATGTACTTATGTTGTGTAGCAAGTTTGAGTTGATTTCAACCAAAATTGGATTTTTTACAAATTTTTAATGTTGCTCAAAAATTGGACAAAAGTCCCCGTACTATAGTACAGGGATTTTGGCCAAATTTGTTCAAAAAGGAAAAGTTTAGAATTTTCTATATTTATTACATTTCCTAATACATATACATGTTCCTATACTACGTAGAAATTTTGAGTTAATTCTGATCAAATTTGGATTTTTTTACAAATCTTTAAAGTTGCTCTTAATATGGACAAAAGTCCCTGTACTATAGTACAGGGTCGTTGACCAAATTTCACCAAAAATTAAAAGTGTAGAATTCTTCATTTTAATGATTTTTTCTGATACATATACATGTTTTTATGCTGTGTAGAAAGTTTGAGCTGATTCCGATCAAAATTGAATTTTTTACAAATTTTTAAAGTTGCTCAAAAATTGGACAAAAGTCCCTGTACTATAGTACAGTGACTTTTGCCCAATTTCGTCAAAAATGAAAAGTTGAAAATTTCCATTTTTATAATTGTTCCTGATGCATATACATGTTCTTATGTTGCGTGCAAAGTTTAAGCTAATTCCGATTGAAATTGGATTATTTGCATTTAAGTTTATTGAAACACCATAGACTATTATATCATTCTTAATCTCACTCTTAGGTCTCTGGTTATATATCAGAAGAGAAGGAAGCCGTTGCACATAATAACCTGATACCTCAGGCTCGTTCTTTCTCTGGTTTGGAGGAGGGGCAGGTCCTTATAGAAACTGATGCTCTCAAGTTCCTCATCAAGTGGTACTGCAGGGAGAGTGGAGTGAGGAATCTACTGCAACACATTGAGAAGGTGCAGACTGCAAGTATCACACACACACACACACAAGTCATGATAATATTTAGATGTATAAATACTTACATGTACATGTACACATGTACATGTATTCTCCTTCGCTTGTTAATAATAATAAGTTTGCTCATAATAATATTTCAATACATGCATACATGTACTTGTCATGTGTACCTTATACTGGATTATTTTTAATGTAGTGAAAAACTTTTCACAAATCACGCACACATAAGTCATAGTAATGCATGTACATGTATTGTCCTTTGCTTGTTGAGCTGTTTTATCATTTATGTACGTGTACATGTAAATGTACAGTTACTTAAATATTTAGCTAATTTACATGTACATTATTATTTATACTTTTAATATCATTGTATTCCTTCATTGTAATTTCAATCACCTTCATTGTACAGATATTACATAAAGCTGCTTTTAAAGTCTTATCACAGACACAGACTAAAGATGATGAAGCTGAAGCTGAAGGAGATAAAAAGAAAGAAGAAACAAAAGAAGAAGAGAAACCTTCTCCCCCTCCTGTTCCTCCTGTCACTGTCTCTTCCTCCAATTTAAAAGATTTTGTCGGTCATCCTCTGTTTATTTCTGATCGCTTCTATGAGACCACACCCCCTGGAGTGGTTATGGGTCTGGCTTGGACGTCAATGGGAGGTACTACTCTTTATGTGGAGACAGGCATGGCTGAGGGGCAGGGCCTGTCAAAGGAGGGGAGAAGAGAGGGGGGTATGACTACCACTGGACAGTTAGGAGATGTAATGAAGGAGTCCACTGTTATTGCTTATACTTTTGCTAAGGTAGAGAGAGATGGGAATACATGTATAAGGTGCCCTGGTGCTGTTGTGTAAATTGTATTTTTGTTTTATTTTAGTCATTTTTGTCTTCAAAATATCCTACAGTGATTTTCTTTAGAAGGCAAAAATTCATCTCCACGGAGGCACATACATGTACCTGAGGTAAGTATAATACCGTAGGGCGCCTTTTTTTAGGGCTATAAATTTCGTGATTTTTTAAAAGATTCGCGAAAATTATTTTCGCGAAAATCAAATTAATACGGTACAAGATGGCAGACGGCATAAATTCGCAAAAATTAAATCCGCAAAATAAAAATCCATGAAATTTATAGCCCTCGAAAAAAAGGTGCCCTATGGTACTTTCATTATAATAATAATAATATTCTTATTTTAATTTTTGCAATTATTACTATTACCATTATTACTATCAACAATTAATAATAATAGAGGCAACTAATATTATTATTTTATTATTGATTTATTACTTATTATTATTTATTAATTAAAGGGTACTACCCCAAAGGACGGTCCCTCTGCAGGTGTCACTATAGCCTCTGCCCTCCTCTCACTGGCTATGGATCGTCCAATACATCAGAATGTTGCCATGACTGGTGAACTGTCACTCACTGGAAAGGTATGTACATGTACTTCTATATCTTATTCACAACATGTACATGTACTATAACCAAGAGTACTTTTGCTACCATATAGCGAGAAATTTTTGTGGCCCAAAAATTTTGTGGATCCGTCTAAAAATTAATTTTGTGGCTTTAATTTTTGTGGTTTTCTACTTTCAACCATCTTGAATCGTATTAAATTGATTTTTGTGGATTTTATTTTTGTGAATTTTGGAAAAAAACTTGAAATTCACGAAAATTTTGGGCCACGAAAATTTCTCGCTATACAGTATAACACATGTATACTATTTCATGCATCATAGATGTATTACCACAGATAGTGGATGCTGATTACCATGTACATGTACATTGACTCCTGTATAAACTGTGTAATGTATGCAAAATATGTTGCATGCTGTATAGCTCCAAATTTTTGTCAGTAAAAATTTTTGTCAAATTTGTCATGTACTTATGCTTGACAAAATTTTTGTTCCACGTGGGTAGTATGCAGATTAATAACAAAAATGACGAAAATTTTATTGACAAAAATTAATTTTAACAAGAAATTGAGATTTTTATAAAATTTTTGACTGACAAAAATTTGGAGCTATACGGTAGTCTTTTCTTTTGTTGGAATTAATGATTTTTTGGGAAAACAATGGGCTGTAGTACAGGGACATTTTCTAAAATTTAATCATTTTTAATGGTCCTAACTCAAAAATTTAACCCTGGAATTGTCTCAAACTTTCTCCATAGCATTAGTACATCAATATGTATCAGATAATGTGATACAATTTCGGGTGATTTTGGAGCCATTTTTGGGAAAAACCATGTGCTATGGTACATTTTTATTACATGATCCTCTTGTCCCACAGAGAGTCATTGGCTCAGATCATTGAGGCTGGTAAAAGAGTTATAGATGATCCTATGCATCTTGCTGATTTTGGAGCTGCACTGACCAGTGGAGAATCACATCAAATTCAAGCAGCTCTTGAATATCCAGATGTAATCACTTCAAGTCCACTGTGGCAGGAGAACTGGAATAAAATTGTTGACTTATTTAATTTTGATTTTATGAATAATTACATTAAATATTTCAAATAGAAAACTCAATACTATTGTTTCAGAATAAAATACATCAAAATACAATAACAATAACAACAACAACAATAATGATAATAATAATAACAATAACAATGACATTGATAATAATGTTAGAATAAAAAAAGGAGAGAAAGGGAAAGTAGAGGGAGAAGAAATGATGACAAAATATTTAGAACAACAACAACAATGATAACAATAATAATAATAACAAATTGAGTGTAAGTGTAAATTAAAGGTAGATGTGTACATGCTATAATAAAACAATTTATTAATTAAGGAAGAAAGGGAAGACTAACAAAAGAAAGCAAAGAGGAGCTCCAGTGATACGTGTTAACGGAAAATATATTAAAAAAGATGGATTGGTGATATTGGTAACCATTGGGGTGTATGTGTGGGTATATGGTGTAATGGTGATAACTGGTAAGGTAGTTATGGTTACAATGGTAATATGGTGGTACAATGGTAATGGATATATTGCATGTCTTTGGTGTACATGGTAATGATAAAATGACAATGGTGGTTAAATGTCAAACTTAGTATAAAGGTGTTAAGATTAATGGTGATACAAGTTAAGATATTACATAAGTATTGTATAGGTGATATTGGTATAACCATTGGTGTATGGTGATACAATGGTATGTAAAATGGTGGATGGTGATAAGGTGGTGATAGGTGTAATGGTAGGATGGTGTTTAAGATACGATATCGTATAGGATTGGTGATATTGGTAACTATTGTGGGTATATGGTGTAATGGTGATGATGGTACTTAAGTGGTGTAAGGTAGTTAGATGGTGGTAAGGTGGTAGGATAGGTATGATGGTGTAATGGTGATAGGTTACATATGGTGCTGTAGTAAGATGGTGTATTGGTAATATGGTGATAGGTTACATACAATGGACTGATAAGGTGGTAATATGGTGATAAGGTTGAGTTTAAGATACAATATCTTGTCCTGGTGGGTCAACCTGTTGTCCTTCAAGTTTCTCATAATACCCACTCACTTTGCTTTGTTCTAAAAGAAATAAATCATAATGTATCTCTTGAAGATATTTAACTACTGATGAATCAGGATTAACTGATTGAGCTATTTCAATATCATGTGGACAAGGTTTTAAACTGAATGCTTTAACTAAAAACCGAACAAGGTCTAAATTAGAACTCTTGCTAGCAAAATAAAGCATGGTTTTACAATCATCAGTTTCAGCTAGTGCATTACATTTGAGATCAGTTAGAAAGTATTGTACTAACTCCATGCTACCAGCTTCACATGCTGCATGAACTGAAGTGTATCCATTATTATCAGGATCATCAGGAGTACAGGGGAAGGTCTCTATGTGATAACGTACTATGTGAATATTATCAGAACGAGAAGCATAATGAAGAGGAGTACGACCAGACTTGTCTTTAGGTACTAGATTAGAGACAATACTGGATAAATAACAAAACACATCAATATGTCCTATCCTACAAGCTGTATGAAATACAGTGGATCCTTCATTATCAGTAGCTGTAAGGAGATCATGATGAGTAGAACTACCAGTGACTGAGAACAGTAATTCTTCAGCGGTATCCTTATGACCAGAGGCAACTGCTAAGTGTAATGGTGTCTGTCCTTTCTTGTTAGTAATTAATAAGTTATTGTTAGACAGACTGGCTTTTAGTAATAACGATACCATATTCTGTCGTCCATGCTGACAGGCTACATGTAATGGTGTATTACCATCTTTATCTTGTACATTAATAAGTACAGCATTATGTGGATTATTGTGTATGTCATGAGGACTGTCTAATAAACACTTTATCTCACGTAACCAGACAACACTCATTGAGGGTATACTCTTACTCAGTAAATATTCTAATATTTCATATTCATAATCTGTTACAGCAACATGTAGTGGTGTACGGTCTTGATAATCAGTTGCATTAGGATTACAATAATTATTATCCATGAGATACTTCAATATGTTCGAGTGATCTCTTGCTACTGAGATGTGAACTGCTTCAGACCCTTCATCATCAGTAGCTGATATATTACACTTCTTACTAATAAGATATTTAATAATTTCAAAATGATTGAAGTATACTGCAGTAAGGAATGGAGTTCGACCGTGTTGACTGTCAGGTAGTTCAAGTGATGATGGTATGTGCTCTATAATGTACTGGATCAAGTTTAATTTTCCTTCACTGCATGCTAAGTGAATAGGAGCCATTCCCTCATCATTCACAGCACACAGATCTAACTGATAATTCTCTACCAGATGCTTAATAAAATGAGTGTGACCTTCTGAAAGTGAATAATGACAAACATTGTTACCATCCTTATCTGTCAGGTTCAAAGTACAGTTGTAATACTTCACATACAATTCCAGTAGTAAAATATCACCAGATTCAGCAGCATAATGAATTGGTAGCTTACCATTACTGTCAGCTTGATGAGGATCTAACTGATAGGTAGTTATTAATTCTTTAACAAGAGATAAATTAAGAGACAGTGAGGCATAATGTAAAGCAGTGAGGCCATTTTTAGTAACTGCAGTAGGAGACAAACCTTGTTCAGTAATAAGATACTGAACTAAATCAAAGTTACCACTCCATGCAGCATGATGTACTAACGTGCGTCCTTTATTATCTGTTTTATTAACATCACATTGCTGTACCTCAATGAGATATTGAGTGATATCAATATGACCATGACAACAAGAATGATGAAGACATGTCATACCATCATTATCAGTGATATTAGGATCACTGTTATGATTATTAATGAGATATTTAACAGAATTAATACTACCTGACCAGCAGGAATAGACTAATGGTGTACAACCATCAGCATCAGTATCATTAGTATTGAGATTATACTGAGATATGATATAACTTAATACATTAGTAGAACCTGACCAGGCAGCATAATGTACTGGAGACATACCATCATTAGTTAATGTGCAACAGATATTATATTCTTCTAACGCTTTCACTAGTAATGTACTGCCACTTTTTAATGCAAAATGAAGTAATGACTCAAAATAATTTGTAGTAGTGGCATTGATGTCAAAGTTAGGGCAATTGCTAGCTTTCTTGAGAAGTGAAGAAAACATTTTGACTCTTTCATCTCGTTTCATAAAATCAATATTCAGTTTTATTATAGCATTATTAATAACTGATCCATCACTTTGTGCCATAAGCTTACTATACACAATACCAGCTGGAAATTGTATAGTTGCATCACATGCCCAATGTAAACTTGAGTTACCATCATTATCACTAACTAATAATACTTCATTACCTTGAATACTAACAATATACTCAACAACTGATGATGAAGCATACCAAGAAGCAATATGAAGTGGAGTCCTACCATACTGATCCTTTAGATCAATGGGTGATTGATATTGATTTACAAGATGCCCAAAAAGCTCAATGTTATTACTCATAGATGAGTAATGAAATTTTCCGGCCCCCCAAAAGTCAGAGGAATCAGGTGAGAAGAGGTGTAATGATTCAAGTTTGTGTACTAATGCTAACTCTCCACTTTTACAAGCTAACAATGATAAAGATGCACCTTCACTATTAATTTGAGAATTATTACAATTTTTCTCAATAAAAAATTCCATTAGGTCAGAATGGCCCCCGATTGCTGAGTACAGTAATGCAGTGTTATTGCTATTGTCTGGTTCATCTGGAGGAACGTGACACGTGTCTACAAGATATTGTACTATAGATAAGTGGCCTTTATAAGATGCCATATGTATACTAGATACACTATTATCATCACCTTCATTAGGATCAATACCATATTGATGGATGAGTAGTTGAAGGATCTCAATGTGTCCACCATATGATGCAGAGTGTAATGGAGTCCAACCATGAAGACCACGATGATATGTGCTGTAGCCAAACTTGTTAAGAAGCCATTGTACTTCATCTTCTAATCCTTTCCAAGCTGCTTCATGTAATGGTGTACTGGTATTCTCATACCATAATGGATCACATATATCTATAAATGAAAAATTGTATAATTTAGTTGTAACACATGAATGTATCAAGCAACTTGCAGCTGTTTGACCATTGCCCACAAGCTAGTATGAAGAGGTTGACTCATATAGCTACTTACCAATATCAGTGAATGAGTGCTGAACCTCTTCTATATAAAACTGTATAATTATAAATAATAATATTTAATTGTCAATGCATTAATAACTAACCTTTGTTAGGTAATAATTATCATCACCACATGTTAGTTCGGTGATACCAATACTAGCTAACTGTTGCTGCAGCTTTGCAGTTAGAGGAAATAATAAAGAATAAAGATACTCAGGAATGAGGTAACCCAAACAGAGAGACCCAATGTGGACAAAACTGAAGTAAAGATCATATTCAGGAATGTCTAAATCTTTTGGTATTGCTCTACGAAAGAAGAATATGTCATCCAGTGTGTAGTCATCTCTGTCAACTTTAGCAATCATTACTCGTGTACCAGGAGGAACACCTTTTACACCAAACTGTACAGCATCAGCATCTTTCAATAGTCCACCACTATTTATAAAATAATCCTTTAACTTCTCTTCATATGACGACCAAGTTCTCTTTAAAGAACGATTTTTGGGTAGAAATACTGCAACTAGTTTTATCATTAGTTTGTAGTTGAACCATGATATGTATTTGTTTTGTAGTACAGTGAATAGTTTTGGTATTGTTTTTATGC